AGCTTCTCATCAATCACCACCCCCAAGTCCTTCTCCACAGGGCTGCTCTGAATTACTTCTCCGCCCAGCCTGTAGCTGTGCCTGGGGTTGTGCCGACCCAGGTGTAGGACCTTGCACTTGTCTTGGTTAAACTTCATGAGGTTGGCATCAGCCCACCTCACAAGCGTGTCCAGGTCCCTCTGGATGGCATCCCTTCCCTCCAGCATAGCAACTGAGCCACACAGCTTGGTGTCGTCAGCAAACTTGCTGAGGGCACACGCAATCCCATTATCCATGTCACCCACAAAGATGTTAAACAATACAGGTCCCAACACCGATCCCTGAGGGACACCACTCGTTACTGGTCTCCAAGTGGACACTGAACCATTGACCACAACTCTTTGTGTGGCCATCCAGCCAGTTCTTTATCCACCAAGTGGTCCATCCATCAAATTGGTGTCTCTCCAATTTAGAGACAAGGAGGTCATGTGGGACAGTGTCGAATGCCTTGCTCAAATGCAAAACCTAACTATGTGAATACTCAGGACGTGCAAAGAGAAATGAGTTCATTTAAATATTTTTCTCAGAGTGGGTATCTATCTCAACAGCTTAAATCAGAGCACAGGTATCCATGCTACTGTGCTCTCACATTTCATTTAAGAAAATAAGGTTTGGAAAAAAATACAGTTTGAATGTCTATAATGTCTTTCAATAAATTGAACCATGACAGTGTTTGCTTTCCCGGCTAGTTCAGAACTTGTGTCTCTAGAGTGTTATGATAGTTACTTACGTGAAATCATAAATGTATTCACATACTTCACTCTGTTCATTACTGACTTATTTATGGAGCGTTACTAGTTCCTTTAACCGCTTTATACCATTATCTCAGTATAATGTATTAGATTTTAAAATTTTTGTTATAAAAGGTATTAGAAAGAAAAAGAGATTTCAATACAGGCATTCACTGAAAACATATTTTTGGCATCCTCTTATTTTTAGATAAGGAGAATTGTATATAAAGAAAATTAAGTTATTTGATGCTGTCTTGCCCTTTTCCAACAGCTCCTATGGCTCTAAATACAAAAACCTACCAATGAAATTAAGGGCAATACACTCTGGGACTACAAAAGTCTTAAAGTAATAGTGCTTTTTATTTTTAAAATTATTAATATACTTTTAAGGAAATGTTTTAGCATTTATAATGTTAGAATTATACATTATACAGTTTAAACACAAAGATTTATAGACATTATATTTTAGAATGAAAATTACTGTATCATATCTTTTACTAATTTTAAATAAATATTGAATAATATGGAAATTATGTATAAAGCAATCTCACAAACTCAACAAATATCAAAGAATATTACCACTGCTTATACAGCCTAATCAATTACCTAATTAGCAAAACTTTAGTTAAAGTAAATAAGAACTAAGTTAAGATTTATAGTGGCATAAAACATATAAACATTAAGTAAGTGGTTATCACACTATTCTGTGCTGCTCTTTGTTGACATAGTTCAGTTGATGCAATATATTTTCTACATGGTATGTTTTCACATTTAGGGTATCCATTAGAATACATAAACTGCATGATTTGAATATAATAAAAATGTAAGGATTCAACAAAGAAGTAAAAATATCCTAGAAAAAAGACCACTATTCAGTTTTGGAATATGAATCATATAATCATAGAATAGTTAGGGTTGGAAAGGACATTAAGATCATCTAGTTCCAACCCCCCTGCCATGGGCAAGGACACCTCTCACTAAACCATGTCACCCCAGGCTCTGTCCAGCCTGGCCTTCAACACTGCCAGGGATGGAGCACAACACGCCCGGGGAGGGAGCCCGGCAGCCGAGCCCCAGGCTGAACGGCTGCGTGGTTCTGAGTTACTGGCTGGGCTTAAACCACGACAAAAACTTCCTTGGGCAACCCATTCCAGTGTGTCACCACACTCACTGTAAAAAACTACTTCCTTATACCTTATAATCTAAAATTCCCTTGTTAAATTTTGAATCCGTTACCCCTTCTCCTACCACTACAATCCCTAATGAAGAGTACCTCCTCAGCATCCTTGTAGGCCCCCTTCAGATACTGGAAGGCTGCTAGGAGGTCTCCACGCAGCCTTCTCTTCTCCAGGCTGAACAGCCCCACCTTTCTCAGCCTGTCTTCGTATGGGAGGTGCTCCAGCCCCCTTATCATCCTCATGGCCCTCCTCTGGACTTGCTCCAACAGCTCCATGTCCTTATTATGTTGAGGACACCAGAACTGAGAAAAA